AAAGTTCAACATGCTGTTAAATTTCGAATTTTTTTCGAAGAAGTTTTTGGGGAAAATACACGAATTTTAGCTTCCCTCAATTATTTTTTAGGCATAAATAATAGTTTCCCAGCTACCTCGAAATCTCCTAAAATAATTTTTTTGCTGGTCCATCAGAGGTTTAATTATACAGCTGTACTTGAGGAAGATGAAAAAATGAGCGATGTAGAAACGGGGGACTTCCTTAATCATTATTTGTCATTTAATTATATCGACCTTTATACTGTATTATGCTGAGTTAAAGTTCGGATTGCAAAATCTCTACGATTCCTACAATTTTTGGAAATTGAATTGTATCATATTTTTGGGGAAAATGAACTACAATATTTTCCATAAATGCTCAAAGAAAAAGCGCTTCTTATTTACTGTAATATGATTCTCTAAATATATTCTAAGGGGTTTTTCGGGCTGTTGGAAGTAATGATAAGTACCCATCCCAGCCGATATGGAATTCCATATTAAATCAACCAAGCGTGCAATACACGCATGAGGTGTACAGTACTGTACTCTAATATACTTCGCACCTATGCGAATTTAAAACTAATGTGTAAATACAGTATACAATATTAAATGTACAGTGTATGATTTTGTTTCAACTGTGGAAATTTATGTCGTATCACATTCGACATCAAAGCAATTATGAAACGTCTCGTGATTACATAGAAATAATAAATTTTCAACGGATATTAACTTCGGAGCTAGTATCCGAGCTTTTCACCCTCAGCAGCAGTATCACAGAACTTTCGAAAACCCCCCTCTGACACTCACGCAATACCATTTTAACATTTTTTAGCACATGCAACCGAAGCTTGTATTTTCTGCAAGAACCAACATATATTTTACAATCCCGACCGGAAATGCAAACACCTTCGAACACCGTTCATTGGAGAATCTTTCCACACCTAAAACGAATCAAATATTCTTTCCGTGTCCAGGTCACCAGAGGTCAGCCGGACAAGCGGCAAACCCACAGACAATTTAAAACACTTCCCAGGGCTCGTCAGTGATTCAACACCACAAAAGAGAGATTTCAAAATCTTTCTCCTCACCAATTCTTTAATTTAGTTTTTTTTTTCGCTCTTAAAGAGCATTTTTCATTGCTTAATAACTTCCGCATGCATCATCCCTCCTGCTTCCGATTCGAGTGATCTTCAGATTTTACTGTGTCACGTTATGGCTGATGCTGGATACTTTTAGCAGATTTAGGATGCATACTTTTGTCAAGTGACATTATTAAAGGTACACTCTACTTTGTTGTTGCACTACAAAATTTTAAACGTGCCGCAAAATTACGAATAAATTAATTCGAATATTTTCGCAAAGGAATTCGACGAGGCGACTTTTTTAAAGCATCAGCGAATGTCAAGCTTTTTCGTAATTGAGTGGTTTATAATAACAAGTTTTAAAATGGCATTTTCTGAATATGATTTACTTTTAGTAAAAAAATAAGGATCACGAGAAAATAAAGGAATTTTCGGTTTGATAATTTATTGGCAGTTCAATGAATATTGACAGGAATTTAATTCCATTTGCGCTGCAGTAGAAAAGACTAAAAATACCCCTTTTACGTTCACAGGTACCGGATAAAGTACTTATTATTGGTATCATCTTGTCGAGGTACGGTTTATTTTTCTCAATGCTGTCCCATCATCATTTAAAAAATTTCCCATAATTTTTGGTTAATAACTTCCCAAAATATCAACTTTTTTTTATGATTATCCCTGAATCTTGAGTCAAGCCTCGTTAAGACTCAAACATCGTACATAAAAACCACGCATAAAATCTACTCAGCTATGCTTTTATAGATGACATGCCCTAATTTTAAAACAAATTTATCAATTTGGTCACCCTATTTTTCCCCCCCACTTTTGAATCAAAAGTAAACCACTCGGTGTCGCAATTTTGTTGCTTTGCGGTGGACGAATGAAAAACAAAATCATCGCACCATTCCAGAAAAAATCCAAAAATAAAATTCACGGGTTGAACGCTTGAAAGGAAAAGGGTTTGACCGAGGTGTCAAACGGAGCATTTAATATTTTTGAATGCGATGACGTAATGAAACCTGCCACAAATTTCACACATGAGGAAATTCAGTCCCCCGCTGGGATTCAGACCGGATCCGTGTCCTCGCAATGAAAAGGGGAGATAATTTCTGGTAATTACAGCTGCTGTTGAATACAAACAAAACTGTTTCGATGATATAATAGAGAGGATGAAGGAAGCGGTGAACAATTTCTACATCATTTTGATGCCAAGTTTAACCTTGCGCAGAGCGAATATGAAGTGTTTCGAATAAAAATTACAGTAGTGAATAATACAAATGCACCGAAATAATTCTCGCATATATGCGTCAAACAGGTTTTAAAATCCCTGTTTTTTTTTTTAATCAGGAAAGATGAAAAAAGCATTAAAGTAAAGAACCCTCCAGATACAGACGCCCCAACAGAATGCTGATTTAATTTAGGGAAACTTAGAACAGAAAAACATCTGCCCCAAAATAATCTGCACCAAATTTCAAAATATGGACACAGCCAAAATGTTAATCGAAAAGTTAAAAAAACTGTTATCTCTTGAAGAAATTCTGCAAAATCACAAAAATTCAAAATAGATCTTATTATAAATTTATTTTAATTGAGAACCCAAATGAAGTTCATTTTGTGCTTCTTCTTTAAGGGGGTTTTCCATCATCTGTGCACAGCAGCACATGAGTTTTTCTCTGCTTTTTGGGCTCCTTTTCATAAAAAAAATGGCAGATTGTGTTACTTCTGCACAACTATTTTCTGGATCTTGAAGTTGAGAAAGAACGTCATTTAATTTTCGGGGTGGGCTATTTTTAATTTATTCTATACAAGAGCACCAATTAAATATGTTCCCATTCAACTCGACGGGAAAAGGTGATCTGACATGCAGATATAAAAAAAATTCAAATCAATAACAGTTCACATGATTCGAAAATATTTATAACGGCCACAAGTGCTGATCCCAAGAAAGAAAAAATTATCGAGGTTTCTTAAAAAATTGGGCGTACCTGGTGAACGGAAAGTAAAATTTATGAGGCGCCGTAACGCATCTAATTTTCAGAATAATGCATCAAAAATATGATTCTTTTAGAAAATCTTGCAGAATCTTATTCATTGACACGAAAATAATTTTTTTTCACGTGATAATAGTCTCAAGAAAACTATTGCGACTTATCTTTGCGAATAATTCGTAACTGCATTTGAAAATTAAACTTGTGTGTGGCACCCCGACGTATCTGATTTATTCACAAATAAGCACCGAGCAAAAAATAATTTGCTGAAAACAAGAGAGCATCGGTTGAAGAAAAAAAAATACCGTGGAGGAAAAAAAAAACAATAACACAGAAACTTCAACAGAAAAAGGCCCGCGGGCAAAAATTTTTTTCCAATCTTGGAACATCATGGAAGCTCGCATCTTCTTCCTTTCGCAGTCGGCAACGAACTTCGTGACGAGAATATCGTCTTTCCGAGGCTTCGATTCTGTTTCACGACCAGTTTTTTTTCTTTTCGTCATACACGAAAAAAAAAATCAAATCTTGAATCGTGATGGCAAATTCGAGTGAGCAAGTGTTGCATTGTTTCGGATGCGGAAGTTGCTTTATGTATAGACGAGCCGTGGAAGTAATCCCGAGACTCAATCCGCACGAATCTCTCAATTTATAAGCTGAAAAAAATTTACGATTTTTTTTTCGAATGGGTGAGATTTTTCACGTATGAAACTGAAAATTTTTCGTCACGAAAAAAACACGAATCGATGCATTCGCGAAAACGGAAACCATCCAATTTCTCAGCATTTTGAAGCAGACAAATGAAATGAAGGTCTCCTAAATAAGAATTTGTTGAACATTAATTGACGTTTACAACTGTAATTTTTCATTCATATAATTCTCAAAAAAAATTAATCAACGTCTATTGGACCATTGATGAAAATCCCAAGATTACAAAACATCTTAGCATCTCAAATTAGCTGAAGAAAATCCGCTTTGAGAATGTTTACAAGAATTCCATCCGAAAACTGCACATAGAAAAATACTAAAATAATTATATATGTAGGATTTTCACAAGAAATTTGAATGCCGTGGAGATTTTAGACGAGTTTCCTTCTCTGTCCATTGAACAGACGGATGAGTGTGATTCAGGTAGATGTCACTGCTATAGTCAGCATTGCATTTCAATGTCATGCCAAGCTTCTAATGGAAGTAGTTGTTTTGAGTCCCTTAATGTAGAACTTCCAGGATGTAAAAACAAAATGTAGTGGCCCCCTCATAACAGACATCCCGCTTAAGGGATTTTTGCCTAACAGACCAGCTCGGGTCTGTAGGTAGTTTTTCCTCCCGCGCAACAGACAAAATCCGCCAGACCTCTATTGGTTTACAATTAGTGTTGACAACTTAAATTTTTAATATAATTGAATTTTTCTAAAGGACTTTTTGTGTAACAGACTTGTTTGCTGCACAAATTAAGTCCGTTATTGACTGTAATTTTGTATAGTGTAAAAAATTACCCAACATTTTTAAACCAGAGAAAAAATTTCAATTTTCATTCCTATATTTTCTGAACAACTGTAAATTAAAACAGTATCAGTATCTCACCAGATTATCGCATTTCAGTCAGTGCTTTGGTTGAAGAAGGCCTAGCTCAATTACAAAACGCCCTCACTTTCGACCCCCCTAATTTCCGGGAACAGAGATAATTGCGCAGGTAATTAAACAAAAGATTACCTCATCTTTACGACTCTCTCCCCCACACACGAATTCGAGTCATTTTCGGCATTAGTGAGATGAGTTCGCGATAAAAATCTATCGTCTCGCCTACATTGGTCAAGCTTCAGTAAAAATCGCTTCCGACAAAAGCAGCACGAATCCTGAGTGAGAAGAATGAGGAATAAAAATTTGATGCTAATCTCCATACAAAATTTAATTTTCTTTTTTTTTTTTAAAGAAAAAGCCACTGATTACGTTATCGTTGACTCGTTGCGTCACAACTTGAGAATAAGGATGTGCGGTAATCAGAACTTTGCAGATTCCCGCCATCAGCCGTGAGTCTCTCTCTCTCACTCTCTGTTTGGCGATATTTCTTTGTAGAATTAATTTGGGGGGCTTTCTTCCTGAAACAAAGAAGATCTGGTATTTTAAATTCCGATATCATATCTATACACCAATCGTAAGATTCCTCGAGTGTTTGTTTCAAGTACCGAGAGCCATTTCGTGACTCGGCTTCCCATCCACAACCTTTTGAATGGGGTTGTTGAAAAAAAAAAATTATCTGGAAGATTAAATTCGCTCTCTGGGATCTTGATTCTTAACTCTGCAGAGAAAAGAAAAAATGCGAAGAAATGAGTAGTTGAACATGTCTGAGAGATTTTAAATTTTGAGGGATGTTGAAACACATTTTCAGGAGCTAGAAATCGGATTGTTGCGCACTCAAGTTTTTCTCGGTTACGATTTTCAAAATCTCTCCGAAGTTGGACTGGAAGAAACCTTTTTATTTTAATTTACTGAATACTGATCTAATAGCAGCTTGGACATGGGAAACTTCTCACTAAAAATCCAACATTGAAAAAATAAACCCACGAAAAATCGCAGATGGAAAAACTTTCCCAGGTCAGATATTCTTTCCGAGAGATTTTCCAGATCATGGGTTACAAAAATCTGCCGAAAATAGTTTTGTAAGAAGTTGAGGTTCTTCAATATTTAGAGTAGAATTTGGACTATACAATATACCTGCAAATTCATGAAAGCTGAAAGTTTTGTTGGTAAGCCATACTTTTTTCAATTCTTCTCGACCAAATGAGCGAAAAATTGAAAAGCAGTCAACTTCTACAATGTGAAAATCGATCATTCAAAACTTTCGAAAAATAAAACAACACTTATCCTTTGCAAGCCTGACACACATTTTTAACATACCTTCGTCCTCATATCAGTTCTTGTACACCGAGGAAAAATTAATAATAATGTTGTAATGACTGGCAATAAGAAAGACGTTTGCAAATAATCATCCGTTAAAGTGCTGAAATTTATATTTTTCTCTATGAAAATTCAAAACAAATGTTCGCGTTTCGCAAAGAGATACACGCAAAAAACTGACATTTTAAAAATTGCAAGGAAATTTTGAGACATTCCTGAAATGCCTCAACTCGAAAATTCTTCAGTTTTTATTTTCGAATGCTCATTTTGACAAAACGCTTTCGGATCGGACGCCATTTACAGAATTTTCTGATAATTCTGTCGGTCGTTTAAAACCTCCGGAGCAACTTCACAATTTTTCAAGGAGGAAGATGATTTTTTTATTATTTTCGTTGAGGTTTAGTGGCAGTCAACAAACCCTTTGTTCCGAAACACACAAAGTGCAGTGTCAAGGGCTTTTAATATTGAACAGCCTTTTACATGTGTTGTCGGGAAAGAACGTTTTCAGCGTCGACAAGTTTCCATTTTTATTTTTATTTTACTATTTGCCCACAAGGAATCAAGGAATTATTTTTAACTTTCGTGACGTCTGCCAGGGACGTAAAAATTGAGCGTTATGAAACCCCGAAACAGGGAAGAAATTACAGTGCTCCAACCCGGGGTTCTTTTCATATAAATCCTTCCAACTAGAAGCTGGAGAACGTTTTCTCGGATAAAAACAAGGGGGAAAATGTAGAGAAAAAAAAACATGAATGAATAAAAGAGAAGAGGGAAGTCTTACAACATTAAATAACCCCGTAATTACGCGACGTTTCCATCCTCAAGGCGGCCCTTGATTGCTTAATCACAGCGCATCTTCTTCAAGTTTATCTTCATGTTCCTTTGACCTAATCCTTGCGACGTGGGGTCATTCTTGAGATGATTACGTTTCTGATAGAAATTTATGAAATTTTTCCCGATTGTGGACCCTCAAGCAATTTCCGTCGTTTTATTTTTCGAAAGGTTCACGTAGATAACCTTCCGAATTATCGAAAAACCCATTACGAAAAATTACAAGACAGTGAAAAAATGTAAAAATCTATTCAATTGAATAATATGACCTATGCCCTATTTTTAATGAGTGTTTACTCTTTACCAACGACGGCAGGAAACACCAAAAGTTAGACCTAAGTTTGTCCCAGTAATTTGCCGAAGAAATATTTTTCCACTTGAAAAAATTTGCTGTCAAAGAAAAGATTCATTCCTTCAGCTCCTCTGTATAAATAAAAATTAAATTATTTCACCGCTGATCCGCAGTACAGATTAAAAATTGCTTCTCGTCTAAAAAAATCGAGAAAAAATATAATTCCACTGAACAAACACACACAGTCAATTGTATGATTATACAGGAGAAAAGGCTTTTTTCAAAGAGGAAAGTCCTATTGATAACATCATGCTTTAATGAAACATTTCCTTCATTTTTTTCACACAAAAATACACCTCCACAATCTCTGAAAGAATAATGTAAGATTTTTATTTTTTGGAAACATACACTGAATGACTTGCTGATTGAATGGTTGGCATAAAAGCCTTTTTTTAACTCTTTGTCAGCATTCAAAGATGTTTTTCACATTACTCACACATACATCTCGAACTCATTCCAGCCTATCACAAATACTGTATAATATCATGTACATGTATTTAAGGAAAATACAGCATGTTACATCCAAATGCACGCATAATGAATTACCATAATTTTTTCTAAAGAATGATGAAAATCACTGCATGAGATATCTTTGGGCATGAATTAAAGCAAAAGGTGTTCAGCCTGTTTTCAGATGATTTTTAATTCATTGAACAGTTTAGAAAGAATCATTGAGGAGAAAATCAGACAGACCTAACATTTTATATTTTAAGATTCAAGCCTTATCAAATGCTTAATTTTATTTGATCATATGCTTGATCAATTTTTTAATTACCTCTTGTTCTTATTTTTAAAATTTTCATTTTCTAATCAAGTGTCCTCCAATGTTTTTGGGCCCACAGTCCGGAAAATTTTCATAAAATGTTTGCAGACTCAAAAATGTGTTGTTTGAAAGACTTTATGGAAGGTATTTAACCCATGGGCAGCAAAGGGTTTTTTTCCATTGCAGGATGGAGTCAGATTATTTTTGTATCCTCCCAAATTTTTTTTTTTTTATGGCTATAGGAAATCCCTTCCAGGTGGGCTGAGGTAAAGTCGGGATTAATCCCAGAAAAGCCTGTTGCTTGTCTGAGCCTTTTCCATGCAAAATTTTTTTGTGCCAGGGAAAAAACATCGGGATTTTTTCCGACTTTGCCCTAAACCCCCTGTTGTCATTTTTTTCTTCACCTCTCTGAGGTGCAACAAAATTTTGCAAAAATAGTCCAACTTTGCTGCCCAAGGGTTAAAAAGTTTCTGCCCTTTTGCAAACATCAACTTATTAAATAATGAAGCAACTATTGTGGATTTCTTTCAAAAAATTAGAAAAGGTGGGCTTGAGAAAAGGATTCTCAGAATTAAAAAAATTAAATAATTTATTTCAATACGTGAAACTTTTTTTTACGCATAATCAGAAGAAAAGCTCAGTTAATTTCAACTGCCGTTGTCTTTCCAAAAATTTAGATAAATATAACAGACTTCATTGCGACTTGAGTAAAATTTTCTTGCTGAAGAAAAAAAATCCCTGCAGACCTGCAAAAAAAAAATTCTGCAAACGGCGGTGCTGGTCCATATGGACCCCAGGTATTGTGAAACAGTGTTCTATAAAATAAATAAATTATGTTTTAAAAAAATACGTGAGTGGATGTTCGCAGATGAACTGCGAGAACATCCCATTAATGAAAAATGGAACTCTGGCATGTTGGTTCCTTTAAAGTTGGGAATCGGGGTTTCGCGTGACAGTCGGCATTTCTTTCGCCTCGCTCTGGGTTATTGCCTAGGGGTATCCCCCACGTGAGCTGTTGCTCCCGCGAGGTTCAGATGGGTTCTGAGGGTGGGGGATCCTGGTAGGAACCTATGGGACAGTATTCGCAGTAAAGAGAATTAGTTAGGGTGTAGTAACAGACTTCATTGCGACTTGAGTAAAATTTTCTTGCTGAAGAAAAAAAATCCCTGCAGACCTGCAAAAAAAAAAAATTCTGCAAACTGGGGTGCTGGTCCATGGACCCTGTCACGAATTTTTTAGTTCTATTTTTAGTTAACAAAATTGAGAACCCGAATTCTCATCCTTGAGGAAAAATTCCACTTTCTGTGAGAACCTCGGAAAACCTTGGTTCTCACGTAACCAACGGAAGCCTCCAAGGCTGAATTTCTCTGCAAAATCCTGTTGCTAAATCTCATCCTTGAAGGACTGCTTTCCTGTTTTGAAAATTCATAATGTTTGTTACATTCTACTCCTGGCATTCGCGTGTGTTGTTTTGACTGACTCTCGCAAGAATCAATCATCTGTTTTGGACTTGTGTGAAATTCTGAATTATACCAACCTAATAATAGGGTGATTCTCACCCCAGTCGTAGCCCGACCAAATTCTTGTGTTTGATTTCTTGATCTAAAATCATATTTCTAAATTTGTAAATCACAGTTTTGACCTTTCTTTGTCAAGGATATTTTATTCCTGACAGACCCCAGGTATTGTGAAACAGTGTTCTATAAAATAAATAAATTATGTTTTAAAAAATACGTGAGTGGATGTCTGCAGATGAACTGCGAGAACATCCCATTAATGAAAAATGGAACTCTGGCATGTTGGTTCCTTTAAAGTTGGGAATCGGGGTTTCGCGTGACAGTCGGCATTTCTTTCGCCTCGCTCTGGGTTATTGCCCAATAATAATCGTTCTTCTTCCCCCAATTGAGTCGCACTGTCTTGACAAATGACATTGAAAGAAGAAGAACCAAGCACTTTAGACAGGGAAGCTTTTGGCACAAATTGCGCAATGTACGATAACACCCACGGTGTATCGATTTGAGACTTCAATGATGCCAGTATTTTGGCTCATTCTCAATTTGAGTTCGATTTCGCTTCAGGCTCGAATGGAACTCAGTTTACATAATTCGGTTGCTGAAATGAGGCATTGAGCATCTCTGAAAGTCACGGAAAATTAAATTATCGTTTCGAGGGAAAATAATTCCACA